CCAAAGCCTAACTACATTGACATGACTGCCACTAACAAACTCATTTGATTTTGAAGTTACCCCAACTCTTGGAGGAAGTGTGTTACACTAATCATTCCCGAATCATTCCCGTAGTAAATTATTAGCCCAGTGAYGAGGCAGCGTTGTGCCGTAAAGCAAGCTTCACAAAATTACAGGTGGGTGTCAGGTGGGTGTTCTGTCCTTGCTCTGATAGCATGCAACGTGTCGCAGCAAAGTGAAATTTCAAGCAATTAGCACACTGAATTTCAATATCTCTAGGGGAAAAAAAAAAAAAAAAAGCCATTGATTTGATCTTCCTACCTGTGTGATCTTAGTTAATAAAATCAGAAACGTTTCCAGTCTTTGCGTGGAGTCGTTGCTGAGAGAGGTCCTGCTTGCACCAATGTTTGTAAGAGATTTCTGGAGTAAGAATGCTGCAAGGAAGGTTCATATAGGATGGTTCATCTGCAGAAAGCAGATTGCTGTTATGTCCATACTGGCTGTACACAAAATGGGAAGAACTAAGGCTCATTCTTATTCCTGTAGACATCTGCCACTGGGGCCCTACACCASCAGGGCAGCCTCCCATGATCCCTCTTGTGTAAACTGTGGGAGGAGCAAGGCTTCTTCACAGCCTTTCTGTAGGGTAATTAACAGCATAACATGCACGCTCTCCCATTTTTAACTGAAGGAGGCCACATCTAGAGGCCTAAAGATGGTTTATAACGATCTTTATAACTGATGTAACTGTCCCACACAGTCTGCTACAGCTTCTGGTTGAGTATGGCCAGCAYTGTGGTATTTAGCATAATGTTAACATATATAGCCTAGGCTTTACATGAATCTCTGCAATTGCATTGGTCTTTTAAGAAGGCCAGCACCAAAGAAACCACCTTTGACCCTGTCCTGACTCTGTGGTGTCTCCCTACCTAACTAGAACTGATACAGAACTGTARGGAAAGGGAACGACTCCAAGCATTATTCTGCGTATCTGGAAGCAACATCTCTWAAGTGCCAGTAGTGTGCTGAGCACGAGCACAGCCTGCCATCCTAACTGAGCAACAGTCTTCAGTAAATCCAGGAAAGAGAATTAGAGGAGGATGTGCTTCACTGCACTCACTGGCGCGCGTCCGCTGTGTTGGTGAGAGCATTTGTAGGTCAGACCCAAGAACGAAGCACACAATAGGTGCAGCTCAGCAACTCCTCAGGGTTGCTGCAAGRAGTACGAGTTCACTTTTGGGAATGCAGGAATTTATTACTCCAGGGATCTCTCTGGCGACACACGGGCAGTACAGYTTACAGAAAGAAGTAGTGTGGCTGCTCGTGGAGACAACACCGCAAAGAGGCCAACCACTTTCTTCCACTGAAAAAGACTCTTGTTAATCATGGTGTTAACACCACGATTCCTGTTGTCAAAAGCCTTTTCTCAAGTTTGTATCTACACTCCAAAGCAGCCCAAGTGAACTAATTCTGGTCCATGCTGATCCAGTCTTGCCAATGTGAGGGTTAAAAGCATAGTATATCTGCCAATTTAATTGAAAACGCCTCTCCATAGCTGTCACTTATCAATAATTCTCCCAAGTATAAACATATGCAGCACTCCTCAGAGCCACATGTGCCAATGGCAGAGGTAATAAATAGTACTTTAGGTAAACTATCAGGGCAAACTAATGAAATAGTAATTTATCCTGAAGCATAAGTAAATGTTTCTTCTTCCAGGARATCTGTCATGATTAAATTCTCCCTAAAGCCTCTTGCTAATCTGATCTATTCTTTATTCTTTTTTTTTTTTTTTATAAGAGCTATTACAGTATAATTGGTATATCATGTGTTCTTGGACTGTTTGGGGGGTTTTGCTCTATTTATTATATTTTATTTGGACTCTATAAGTTTTGCCATTCTGGTCTTGGTGCACTCACTGCTGTGACTCATTGATTCCACAGTTACTGCCAGATCTCCGAGGCCGACATTGTAATTATCGCGTTAGGATCTGTTATTGTAGCCCTGGCTTCGTAAACAGTCAGATCCATGATTAGAATCACGGATTGATCCGTTGTGTGTTTTTGGACACACACGCAGGAGATGAGAAGAGAGCTGTACCTATTAAGGGTGTGATATTTCAATATTCCAGGTATTAATTAGTATCAAGTAGCCATTCTAGGTACCCTAGCTGTGGTGCTGGTGCTGATCAGCCAGAAAGATGACCAAAATTTATCCCATAAGCTGCAGAATAAACCCTGGGCCCTTCTCTRTGGCCAGCTCAGCAGGTCCGTAAAAGGGGCCTCACAGCACGTGATTAGGGTCCCTTTCAGATGCAACTAAAGGTGCTCTCCAGGACTGCAGCATCACATGGTCATTCTCTCCCTGGGAGCAGACTAGACTTGATCCAAAGCAGATAAAGCTCTGAAATGTTCCCAGTGGGGCTCCTCAGCCCCATCCTCAGCTCCACGTACAGCAGTTGGGCAGTAGCATATCACAGCATCACTCTAACATATCACAGCATATCACTCTTAACTCTAACCTAACTCTGTGTGCTGATGGTGCCTGATCAAACCGAAGCAACAGCTCCTTGGCCAGGGTGCTGCTGTGAGTGGTTCTTCCTCAGCTGCCTCCACAGTCAGAAAACTCTTCCTGGAAATTTGCAGCAAGCYAGGTCCCTACAGGGTGGGCCAAGATGGCCAGTGTGAGGTTGACACAGTGTAAGGCACAAGATAGATACAATTCCCCAAAGCATTTTAGTCTGAAGGAACTGCCACACTAAGCAGTGGGACCAGTTTGGCCCACCAGCAYCCCCAGAAGCAGACCTGCCACTGCAGAGCTGCCAGGGTGGCAGCTCAGTGGAAGGAACGTACTGACTGTGTGGACGTCACTGCTTTCCTTCAAAAATGTATTCTAGACTTATTTGATGCAGAGAAAATCTTTAAAATATGGAGACTGTTTAAAAGCTCAGAAAATAGAAGACCAAAAAGCYAAAGGTGAAAATAAATACATGATTAGAGAGAGACAAGCAAGGGATGAAGATTGTTAGGTGACTCCAACCATTTATGATACCAACTATGCATCCAGTAACACTCTGAACATATATCCATACTTTACCCATAAAGTATATATGATCGACATGGATATTTTATATTTCTTCAAARCCTGCTTGGTTTAGACTTGTAGAGCCCATAGATTGACAGATATAGAACAACCAAATGAATTTTCCTGCCTGTACTCAACTATAAGTATTTGAAAATTAATATGTATTTAATTTTTGCTTTTTTTTCTGTCCTTGAAAGAGGAAATATTAGTTAAAACGTTCTGATATCAAGTGTTGGAGTAGGTATTGTTCTCTASAGTCTCCTGGATTGACCTTATGTTGCATACTGACAGCTAAAATACATTCCTTTAAAATCCTTCACATACATAGGCTGATAACAACAGGGACCTTGTCTTTGATCTGTTCAAAATATTGCATTCTGTTCTTGCCAACAGCTTGTTCTAGATTAGGAATTCTCTTCTAGAGAGACTTGAATACTGCAATGTGATATTTTACCCCTAGAGATTGGCTACCTCATTTTCATACGCTTAGCAGAGGCAAACGCTCAGCAAGTTCATGCCTTTTCAGAGCTTCTGATGGATAAATGTCACACAGCCCAATTCTCATGTTGGCTATTTCACAGAATCACAGGAAGGTTGAAGTTGGAAGGAACCTCTAGGGATCATCTAGTCCAACCCCCTGCTCCAKCAGGGACACCCAGAGCACGGGGCACGGGGCGGCATCCAGGCRGGTTTGGAGACCTCCAGAGAAGGAGACTCCACAAMCKCCCTRGGCAGCCTGTGCCAGGACTCTGTCACCCTCACAGTGAAGAAGTTCCTCCTCACATGGAGATGGAACTGCCTGTGTTTCAACTTAGATCCATTGCCTGTTGTCCTATCACTGGCCACCACTGAGAAGAGCTTGGCCCTTGCCTCCCTATAGTCCCCTTTCCTTCCCCGCCTAGTTCTTTTTCATTCTTCAGCAAGGAAAATGAGGTGTCAGGCTGGCCATTTAGCTTTTCTGAGCTATCTGCTGGCAAAATGGTATAACTGAAAATTGGCCTTGAACTCCGAGGTGCACTCACAAAAGGCAGGATGGTCTAGAATGAAGATCACACTAGCAAAATGATTTCCAACACTAATTGAGAATTAAAGCACAGCCTGCCCTAGAGGCTATGCAAAATAATTGCTTTCTGTCCTTGAATGCAGCATTTTGCCATCTAAAATGGAGGCAATGATATTTGTCTTTATTTCTAAAGTGTTTTCAGGCTTAGGGCCAAATACCCGATTTAAGAATTAATTATTTTTATCTCTGTCATCACAACCCCATTTGCACACAGGGGATACCAGGCCGTAACAGCACTGAGGGTGCCAGTGACTCTTGCTTTGTGCTTCTAAGTTGCTAAGTAATCTGTGTTTAGAAATGCATGTGAGGAATCCTCATCGCACTTGTCATGTAGCAATCTTCCCAAGCATTCAAAGCATTTTCTCAACTTAAAAATTTCTTAGGGATTTCCTTCTGAGACTCAAAGGCAGTCATATATTTTATTTATTTTATTACAAGGCATGTAAGTAAAAACTTGCATAATCTGAAAAAGATATTAGATAGAAAACAGTAATAAAATTAACATTATCCGTTTAAGAAACTTGGTAATAAATACATTTCCCCTCAACATTAAAATGCTTGTGTTTTGCACAACAATAAATACAGCATAGCTCTGGCATAGACAAAGGCCAAGGCTGGATACAAGAAGTCCATGTGGTTTCTTTTATAAAAGCTCAGGTGAATTCTATAAAGGTTTGGCATCTTGCACTCGATGCACTTTGATACAATTTGCACTTTGATTTTATTTTTTACTTTGATTTTTAAACGGTCCCCGTAATATGRAAATATGAGAGGAAAATTTGTTTGGTTATAGGATTTTTCCTTTAAATATTTTCAAAGTAATAGATGTGTAAGCTCATGGAAACCAATCCTAAAAATTAAAAAAAAAAGTGTCTTGGTGTCTATTTTACAAAATATGCAGCGTTTTCAGCTGTGGGTGCTTAAGCCTGACCAGCCAATTGGCACAGAGCCAATCCCCAGTCAGTTCCTCACTTCTTTACATGGTTTTCAAAAAAATAATAAGAAAGAGTAAAGAGAATAATATTCACTTCCCAAGTCATGATGGTTTGAGGTTCTTACGCTATTATCCAAAGGTGACAGGAGAAAAAAAACAGGTATTTTCCAGAATGCTTCCCAGCATAACTTTGGGTCATTCTGGTCTATACTTTTCTTTTAAAGCTACCAACAAAAGAGAAAGAGAGATACTTCCATGCACTGTGCTGTTCCTATGCCAGCACTTCTCATCACAATCATAGCTGTGAATCTATGTCGTTTTTATAGCCCAATCTAATATAGATTATTTCCCACAACACAATGTCCACATAACACCACAAACTCTGGCAGAGTCCAACGTTCTTAAAGTACCGATAGGTCATGGCAAGATTTGGACTTGAGTTTGAAGGCCATATTCTTGTTGTTCTTGGCAACGATTTTGCCCCAGAACCGCCGGGCTTTCTTGGGGATGCTCTCTCTTCGCTTCTGGTAAGCCAGGCGCTTCTCGTTCTTTTCCTTGCTGTCCCTCCGGAGTCGGACTTGTCGCACRATGCCTTCGAAGAGCTCTTTGACGTTGTGCTGCACAGCGGCCGAGGTCTCGATGAACTTGCAGTCAAACACGACGGCACACGCTCGGCCCTCTGCAAGACAGCGAGGGGATAAGTCAGGCGGTGGCAGCAGGAGCAGGGAGGGAGCCAGCGCCAGCTGGGGAATTCCTCTAGCCTAATATAGGCAGGGATAAGTCTTTAATCACCTTAAGCTGCCTTCTAGCCTGTGATTCATCTGGCCCATGTCAGACTCCCTGCACAGTGACGGGGAGCGAATCTCCTTCTGGAAAAGCCCAGCTCCTGGCATCAGCTGTGCGGGCATCCAGGCTGACTCACTCYGAGGCATCGGTGGCCGGGAGCTCGCCACCGGATCAGTCACCTACTCATCGTGCCACCGCGTGCACGCTGCCTCAAGTCATATTAAAAGGTGATGACAGTGCCCTCCATAAGCACAGCCCTTTTTGCCATAGAAAGCAAGGCACAATCCTCTTCTATGGGTCACATATTAAAAAGAGTCTTTGGATAGTAAGAATTTTGGTGTGAGCAGACACACGCAAAATTCCAATGTAAACGCAGAACTATGTCTAAAACATAGGGATACTATAACATACAACATACAACAGGGGTCAGTCTGAAATCTTAGCTCTTACCCTTAACTACCTGAACATAAACTTAACGGTCTTCTAGGTGAGAATGTACCTGCCATGTCTCAAAAGAAAACACATTTTTCAGCTTAGGCCATAAAGAAATGAGAGGAAAATAAGAAACCCTGGACTACTAGTAAGCTTTCAAACTCTTCACTTTGGGCAACTGTGACAGAGGCCAGGGGAGCTATGCACATCCCCAGGGGAAAAACATCTATATCAGTCAGGAGACAGAACAGCTGCAGAAATKAGGAAATGCCAGGTAGAAGAAACCACGTTTGTTGCAAGTTCTGGCTAAGATAATATAATGAGTTACTGTGTGTTGCATGATGTCAGCTAAGCCTCTAAGAAGACCCAAGGAGACCCAAGGGTTGTTTTAGCACCCTGAATCAAGACCTCAAGGAGAGTTCTCCCAAAGGGCTGTCCAGTCCCTGTGTGTCACCTTTCAAGCAACATGAACTAAAGCAGAGGCCATGGCCAGGTCTAACCTGCAGGTGCTGACTGAGCCAGGCCGTCTCCCACCCAAGTTTGTTTGGTGACAGTCACGGWTTATAGGGTAGGTTAATGCAAGTAGGCTGCTTCCAGTCTTACATGAGCAGGACTATGTAGCACTAGACTAAGGCAAAGGGACTTCATGTCCCTGCCACCAGCAGAAGGATGTTTGTGCCATTCTCTATGTTCAGATTACTGGGAGTTGTTAGAATAGCAAAATAAAGAGTGAAAAGGAGTGTAATTTCATCATCAAGTTAAATGACACGAGAATTTCCTCAAGAGAGGAAAGAGAATGAGCAAAGGGCCATAAACTGATTGTGCATAAATATGTATGCACAATCATTTCAAAGGGCTTCCAGGTACCAAAGCAGCTTTTCTGATGGATCTTAATAAATTTAGGAAGGGGATTATCTCACATTACATCAACAAAGTAGGCTTAAGAGACCTAGCAAATTCTTTCCAATCTTTTGTTCAATGTCCCAGTCCTCTGTTCTTTCACTGTTCTTTTATTGCCCAGTGCTGATCAGTGTCAGACAGAGCTCTGGGTTTTGTTCCAAATCTATTATATGTCCCTTAAAAGTTTACCTAGCTTTTGTCCTTATCACTTTCCTTACCTGCCACTGAAACTTCGCGGCACCTGACAAGGTCACTTTTGTTGCCAACCAAAATAATGGGGATATCTTCTTTCTGGCGTGCCCTGCGGAGCTGTATTCTGAGTTCAGAGGCCTTCTCAAAGCTTGCTCGGTCTGTGATGGAGTAGACAATCAAGTAGGCATCTCCCACTTGCATGCAGTGGTCTCGAATCCATTCTCCTTCGCGCTGTTCAAATGAAACGGCCCGTCATCGTTAAGCACAGAAGGGATAACATTACAGCATCCAAGCCCATTCCTTTAGCTATACTAAAAGTAATTCCAAAGTGGTGATGATATGAATACATCACCACAAAGGAGGGCAAAAGTTGGCCCAAAGAATTCATTGTGTTGGCTTTAGACTGGAATGAATGTGATGCTGAAACAGGGCTTGCATTTTTGGTTTTATCATGAAAAAAGGCCAAAAAGAATAGCCTTGTTTTTCTCAAGCTCACACTGCTTAGACCTTAGGTATACTTTGTTTGGCAGGGAGCAAAGGGTGTCTAATCTTATTGTACATAAAACAGCTACTTTTMTTCCCAAAAGATACCTATTTTTAACATTAATACACTTGCATGTGTACTTGTATTTTAGCATTTGATTGGAACAAATAAAAGTACCTTATTATCCCACATGTCCAGCAGTATAATGGTTGCGCTTTCACCATCCACCATCAGGGTTCTTTCATATGTGTCTTCTGGAAAGAAAACCAGAAATATTTTGTGGCATCAGGTACATCACAAAAAAACAAAAGAGCTGAATACATGTAATCTAATCACGGTTCAAGCTACTGAGCCAGCTTTTATGTTGGCTCACATTCCATTTTTCCCTCATTTCTATCAGCACTGAACCTGCCCTCTGCTCATTGCTAGTTGTCTTACTTTCCATGATAAATGAACGAGACTGAAAGATCAGGAAACAAAATGTTCATTATTTTGGCTGATATTCTCTTTATCTTGTGTGGGAGAGAGAAAATAAAGCCCATGGAAGAAATAACCAAAGGCTGAACATTTGCCCCATGGGAGTGTCAGAGTCCAGCGAGGCTGAGTAATGGAAAATATTTGCTTTCGCTTTAGCGGGGACAGTTCACGGGTGAACAGTCACTGCTGCTGAGAGCAATGCAGCCAACAGCCCGCCGAGCAATGAGGACAGGGCTTTGCTAGGCTGGGGCTGCTGGGCTTCACAAACACTGAGGGCTGTCCCCCATCTTACAGTTTCCAACATGAGCTTTGATGTCAAAAAGCAAAGGAGTCAAGAAAATGCAGAAGTTCAGTTATTTGGTACAAAGGCCACAAAAATTCATATCTAGGTTACAAACACCATGTGGTTAAGTGTTGCATAGAACTGGGGGAGCTCTTCCCTCCAAGAGTGAAGACTAATCCTTGCTGTGAATTCTCAGTCTACGTCTTGTTTCAAGTTCTCAATCTCCCTTCTTTCCTCCAAACACAGGAATATTCCTCCAAACACACAGAATTTGGACTCCTCTCAAGTCTTGGGGTGCTCATCAGTGAAAAATGCCAGGTTTTGGGCGTGCAGCTACTTTCAGTGCACTGCTGAAGGGGTTGCCCAAACCATGCCTGCAGATAAGGCTGGGTCTTAGCTCTTGTCTCATAAAATGTCCGCTGGGCTTTGCTGGAGTGAACCTTTCCCCAAAATGTAATTACCTCTCTTAGGTGCCAGGAGTCTGTGTGCATGAAAAGGTATGAGCCAAAAATATTACATGTTTAAAATAAAATCAGCTGCTACATACTGAGAAGCTTTGAAAACAAGAGCACAGGGCTGACACAATTAAAATGGAGATGTTAAAAAGACAATCTAACCAAAYGGAGAAATTCCCTTTGGCATGGCATTTGTGTTTATGAGTTAGGTTAATCCTATATTCAGTAGCAAAAGCAGTCCAAAACAGCAGTTATATTTGCTCTGTGAACGGGCTATTGTGAAACTATATTGTGAAACTCTTGAAATAAAATTTCCAGTTTGCAAGCTAGACTTTGAGAAATAGTTTCTCCAACTGGCCAAGCAATTGCATAGGAAAGAGTATTATACGCTGCTGCCTTTAGAGAACTCTCTAGTCCCTGTTGTACCTGAAGAAGTTGCAAATATTCAAGCACACACCTGGAAAATGCCCCAAATGTGTATATTCAGCACCCATTTGCACCCTGGTCAGTCCTAAGGAACTTCCATGGGATATTAAACACAGTGAAAGTAAGCAATTAGTTCATCTAATGCTTCGGGTAGAAAAAATCAGCTGCATTTTCTGACTGATTGCCCAGGTGGTTTAGCCTGGTTCACTGGTGCAGCACCAGGAAACTTTTTTATCAGGCATATCCCAGATTGAAGGGTGGCTGATAGGATGACTGGAGAAGTTAATGGAAGCTGAAGGCAGAGCTCAACTGGCGTAGAGTCACTGCACAGCAGCAGCTTCAAATTCCCCAAAGGCACCATGATTTCTCSCGTCCATTTGTGAAAATTCATGAGGAAAACATGGATTCTGCCTCCCTAGTTCTGGGTTCTGCTCCCTCTCCTAGTTGGAGAGAGAGAGACACCAAAARCTTCTCTGCTTATGTTCCTGTGAAGGCTGGAGCACAATCCAGTGTGGTGGCTCTGTGTGCTAGCACCGGTACCCTCAAGCAAGGGGAGCCGGCAGGACACGGAGTGCAATGCTGGGAAAGGGGGAGTTGTGTGCACCGACCCTACACAAGTGACACATCTTTGGGACCTGTGTGAGAGCTGAACCAGCCTGCCCCGTGGTACAGCACAGCAGCTTCCAACGGGTATTTTAAAATGAAATAGCATGAGAATTTGTACTTTTCTCTTTCAGACGCTATAGCTCCCCATTATCTCCTTGYTGCTTGCTGTCTCAAGAGAGATAAACATGTTGTAATCAATTTTGATGCTCATATCCAATTGCTGGCTACCTCGGTTTCAGATTAAACGGCTCTGCTAGTTTTCCGTGCTACTGGCAAGGCTGCCCACAAGGAAACACAAGCTCCCCAGGCTGTCGGGACCTACCTCCCAGCACCTCGCAGTCGCTGTCGATGCTGTCGTGCACCCCCGCAAAGATGTTGGCCAGCGATGACTTGCCTACGCCATGCTCCCCGATCAGCACCACCCGGTAGCAATTGCTGCCAGACTCGGAGGAGATGACGGAGTCGGATGACTCCGAGGACCAGCTTCTCCTGTAGTAATCATCAGGGTTGATGGTGTATCGCTTCTGCGCGTTGTATTCGTTGGAGTCCTTCTGGACCAGCAGGTGCTTTCCGTCAGCAGGGATGCTCCATCGCTGCTGCTGCTGCTGCAGGCCACTGTTGTTGGTGCGACGCATGGTAACGTTGTTGAGGGTCATTTTTTTACCCCTATCAAGAAACAGGAAGACCACAAACGTCACCCACAGAGCATTTAGAAACGTATTAGCACCCTCTTCTTAACTTATGGTAGTATGTCCTGATCTTCTATAGGTACCTAGCATGCAGAAAGAAAAATGAGACTTTCTGCACTTCCTTATTGTCGCTGGTAGGGTAAGAAATACTCTAGTGAGTGAGTCAGAGCCGCAGCTTTCATGCTAGGCAGGGTACCACCACCGGCACATGCCAAATCCCCACTCTGCTCAGCCTTGGCTAGGTGCAGCATGGCCGGGGAGGTAGCCCAGCATGGCTGTGGCCCCGGAGGAGAAGGAAGGGACAACGGCACCAACACTGTCACGGAGCACACATATTGCTGTGTCCCCTCCAACACAGCCAAAGATATAGGCAGCACTTATAGCCAGTCCCTACCCTTGGGGCAMAGCTGGGGGCAAATGGAGGGACCAGCCCCAGTGGTCTCCAAGTCCCAAAGTGGTTGGGTGAACAGGGGGGACACGTGTGTACCTCATGGCCGTGCCCCATTCCCTATGCACTCCTGACACAGACAAGCTGAGACCTCCAGCAACGTCACCCACAAATGCAGTCACAAAATTAAGCCCGTTTTGCTTGCAGCTCCCATTGCCTCGGTTAAGAGTTGAGTCTTGCGGGAGAGCAGTGGGCATCACATGCCTCACACTAGCAAAGAGTGATGCAAACACATCTTGCTGTAAGGGAGGATTTTGAGTGGATTTTGAACTCATCTATAAACAAAAAATGACTACTGCACAGAGTGGATTGTGGCTGGCAGAAGTGAGGACACAATCAAATCCTGTGCCTTTTCTGAGAAGGGACTGGGTCTGACCTCAGAAGAAGGTGTCAACTGGGAGAAAAACTCATAAAGTTACAGATATTTTAGTCAAGAACTTAATTTGCCACAAAACCAGCTAGCTCACGTTACCTAAGCCTATTTGCTCCCTTTACGTAACCAGTTAGCTCACCTTGCCACGTGTGGCTCTTAATTACTTCTTACTTGGGAAACTCAGTTTCGCCTGGCTGGAGGCAGAGCGAGGTGATGTTATCCTCACAAGCCAACAGCTACCATTTTTAGGAAAGTTCCTTTGATGCACTCCAGTTCCCAAAGTGACAGTTATTTAGACATTTTGTGTTTTGGTGTGCGTCTGATACCTTTTAGCTCTCCTCTCAGTATTAATAAATAGCCTGTCTGTCTGCGCAATGCATCAGACCACTTTCAATAACAAATTCCAAATATTTCCAATGAGAAGTAGTGAGGGAAAATAAGTGCAGCAATGTAATGAAACGACATGCACAAAGTGCTTTTCCTATTCACATAAAACTTTCTGAAAACTCCTTAGAATAAATGCACAGCAGGTCATAGACCAAAGATGCAGAAAGAGCATGTTCTAAGTAAACTTGCTCCAACTTAGGCAGTGTTGCCTCTGTAACGCACAGTGCCTTGTGGCACATTGGATCATATGCATAGTCGCAGGCACAATAACTTTGCCAGGAAAAATTACAGCTAACTAGAAACCAAGCACAGAGCAAAGATYGCTTCACAAATACAATGATTTTTTTAACACACACAGTTTTAAAATCTACTTTTTTTTCTTGTATTTTCCTCACTGAGAAGATGCACGAGAAAAGCAAGCTGTARGTCAAGCAATAAACAGCCTAATGACTATCTTTAACCACCATTTAATCAGCAAACAGTCCCAGCCATAAACATTTTATACTTTTTTTCCCTTTACAAATTACCATCCATCACTAAACAACTCCCCATGAGACAAAGCCTTTTAACTCACTACTGCATATTGCACTCCCAGCTCTAGTTACAAACCACAGTTAGCTGTTTGGGACTATAGYTTTTCTATAGGAAAATCCTGCATTCCAGCCTTACTTTTGAGGGGCTCTTCCCGCAGTCGAGTCCTTTGCTCTCCCTGCCCTTCTCTCTCTGTGCAGCGCGTTGCACAGAGCCCGTCTGCCCAAGTAAATCCTCTTCTGCTTACAGGCTGCCTCTTTAATTCGCTCTCAGCAAACCTGGTTTATATTAAGCCCATCTGATCAGGGACAGGGCTTTTCCGTGACGTGTTTGGCCTTTCCATGCAAGAGCCAGCCCCCAGCTGGGAGGAAGCGGACATGCAGAAGAGCAAAAACTTGCAAACAGTCGCAAAGCCTTCCTTGAAATCATATGATGCTCCTGACATTGCCAGTAAAATAAACACGTTTGATTGAAATTGTTGATGAAAACAGTGAAGTGGAAAAATATATAAAAAAAAATTAACAAAAATAACACATGCTACTTGATCGTCACACAGTTTTTCAGGCRAGTGTTATTAAAACTGGCGATGTTTTTAAAATGACATGAGTTTTATTAATGCACAAAATGCTGCAAAAATGTTATATTTTCTGTCTGCAAAATGGAATGGATTAACTACTGGAATTAATGTTGTTTTTTTGAATAAAATATTGCAATATTAGTTTGAAGATAACTTAAAAGTAGGACAATTATTCTACTTTGCTGAGGGAAAAAAAAGGAAAAGTAAGGAAGATCTAATGCATAAGATCYAGTCTATATCCTATTTTCCCTGTTTTTTTTTAGCCTCCAAGTCACTGCATCCAGCTTTTGGAGTCCCATAATCAGTTCTCACTTCTGCTCTAACCCTTTGCTAGCAATAGCTTACAAAACACAGCTAACCACAAACTCTTTGTGGCTCCAGGTTTACAGTGGATTACATGCATGTATCAGCATTAATGAGCACAAAGTCAGAACAGCAGAGTTTATGAATCCATAGTTTATTAGAAAAGATGAATAGAAAGTGTACATGCTGCAAAACAAGAGCCTACCCCTTAAATTTGAATAATAGATAATAATTTGAATAATAAAATAGTTGGTAAGGAAACCACAAATTATATAAAAGTATATGGAAACTCTATAGTTAAATCTCAATTGTCTAAATTCTGGATTRACTGTGATGAGGTCAAAGACAAGCTCCAAAAGTTTTCTTTTTAAAATCTCCCCCCAAATCAACAAGTGACTGTAATTTTTATACTACACTTTAGTCTGAACAACTCAATCCATTTCTGAACAAGAGAATTAATATTTTCCCATGACCCAATTCTTTTTGGTTACAAGTAAGCCCTTAATTAGCCATATATCTTCATTAAAGAGAATAGTGATCGGCAGAAGAGAACACCAAGTACTACGTTTGCAGTCTAGCACTTAATCACATGCCTCCACACTTCTATGCTTTGATTAAAACCTGAAAAACTGACTTGTTTTCCTGTGAAAAGGTGGCCCTTCAGGAACTTCTGCAATTGAAAGATGCTCACTTTATTGCCCGCTTTGATTTTGTTGCATTCCCATTTCTTTCATGGGGATTTTCAGGGACCTTCTCAGCCTGTTCTCAAGCCCAATAGAGGCTGTGCTCGAGTACGAGCGTATAGCTTTCCCCAAATATATGCTTATATTAAGTTATATGGAAATTCAGACCTATTAGCAAGGTGCTTGGACAATAGTTAGTGCTTGGCAGTAGCTGAGCTGGCTGCGGATCCTGTCCCCACTTGTGGGTCCCCAGCACAGCTGGCTCCRAGTCTCTGCTGACACGTGGTCACCTCAGAGAGCACCGAATAGTCCRTCCCTCCACACGGCAAGAAGAACATATCCACGCCAGGAATGAAGATTTAYAGCCAGACTGCTCTCAGCAAAACCGTGAGCTCTAAGATCTCGCCTAAATGTTTAACTCATATCATAGTAGCAAGCACAGACAGGAGAAATAAACCAAAGTCAGGAAAGCATTTGTGTTTAGTTATGGTTAGTCTTAGATCAGGAACTGCTGGACATCATCTCACATAAATTCTTCCTAAAATTGAATGCAGACAAAGAAAACCTGGTTCTCCAGCAACCGCAGAACCATCCATAGGGGTCCTCTCAGCTGTGCTGTGAAGCRCTCCTGCTTGGTGAACATGCACACATATTTTCCCTTGTGCTTTCTCTTCTGATTCTATGACACACGCGGCCCTGGACAGCTCTGTCCTCTCGTGCTCTTTGCTGGTCAATGATTCTGCAGCTAAAACTGCCTGGGATAGAGGCAGAAGAAGCGACAGGCACAAAGCCCGGTGCTGCCATCAAGCACAGGGGCGCTCGGTGCAGCCCTTTGGAGCAATATTAAAACTCACAGCAATTGCTTTTTACTCATTCTAACCATTCTGTGCCTCAGTAACCGYGTCTTACAGGAATGCTCCCTGCAGCCAGGATGAAATAAACACTGGAGAGCGGCGGCTCTGCTGTCCCTCTCCGGCCGGGTGCAATTAGAGCAGGTGATGCCCAGAGCAATTACGCAGAAATGTTCCATGGGATATAAAACAGAAGTGGTTTTTGGTGATATTAAACCAGCTGTTTTGTGTTTATGTACGGGAAGGTGAGAGTAGCTCCTCCACTTGCCTCCTAGGTTGAGGACCATGCTTAGAGAAGGCCTCAGTCAATCAGGAAAGGGAGGAAAATGCGAGAGGGAAAAAAAATCAAAAAAAGAAGGAACAACAAAATTCAAATTTGTTTTAATAGACACAGAACAAAGAGTTTCTGCAAGTGCACTCTCTCCCTGAACTTTTAGCAAAAGAATATTTGTTCATTTTTCCCATCAGAGGACCCAATCCGGTAAATTGCAGGGTAAACTGCAGCTCCCAAGAGCTGAACTGCTTCCAGCCCCTTCCCTTCCTCTCCTCCAAAGCATCACAAAAGTTTCACGCTTTTTACCAGTCCTCACATGTGTTGGTGCTGCTGGCCACTTCTCAGCCTCACCAATAGCCTCAGAAAKAGACGTTTTTGGCTCAGCTAGGCGAGATGCTGGGCTGGGTGCAGGACACACTGGGAATAAGCTCAGAAAGCAAGGGCAGGACAAAGAGTACAGATAGAGGTAAGAATGAGACGCATCACAGCAGGACTGAAAACTTATTTCCAACAGCTTTRGAAATTCAAATTTGGAAATTTGGAAAGCTTTTGCTTCCCCATCAGTGCCCAGATGGAAAGTTCCATGCTGAACACAAAAGGCAGCGGGGAGAAAGTAGTCTGAAATCAGGAGGAATGAGCAAGATCCATGAAGGAGAATCAATGGGGAAAGATAGAGAGGGTCTTAATCAAGTTGAGGAGGAGGGAGAGAAAGTGACTCAGAAATTAAGCAATAATAAAATTTTGATTTTTATTTTTTACACAAAACAGAAGCAGGAATATGTAAAAGTGCTTCACCACCAAAGGGGAAAAGAAAGTTTAACAAAAASGCCCCTACTCCCTTTGGAAGAGCAGATTTGATGGACTGCATTTCCAACAACTGCTTGCAGACAGCACTGAATTTGTTCCACCAAAAACCTCCTTTTCCCAATACCACAGCCGCATTTCAATTGTTTAAGCGATCACTAAAGGCAGAACATGTTACTCTGGTGATGGAGCACAGCGATAGGGAAGAAGAACTGATCTGTACCTCTAGTGCCTAAGATAGCATTGAAGGTAAAACCCTGCACTAGAGCTTTCAGATAGGATTGGGTTTAATAAACTCCCTCCCTAGGGATCCCTTCATTAGTCTATTATTTGCTGATAATCCCGATTCTGATGTCCCAAAAGGAAGGACTGACTCATATCTGTGCACTGCAGAGTCCTTCTGACTGTAGTAAATTGGGAAAATACCTTTTGTCCCTCTTGCRTTAAGCAGATACAGCAGAATATTAAGCAAACATTGAGAAGTGAGCAGTCAACAGAAGCAATGCTGCTCAACTTAAAATAAAAAAGAAGTTTTTTGATAATCTAGTTAACTGAAACAGATAAATATGACCTGAGGGGGAAAAAAATAATACTGATAAGGTGAAAAAATCATTCCGGTTTAGGAAAAAAAGGCCTATTTCCTGTGCTTGCATTGAATAATGTTAAAGAATTCTGCTGATGATTGTCAAAGGAAAAGGATATTACATTATATCATGTATGATATAAATAAATTTGTTTTTCAAATGGAATCAAAGCAAATGAAAAAAAATGTAATATTCTAATAATAGTATGATGTGGGTTTGCCCTAAGTGTTCTTCGAAATCAGATCTGAAATCATAAAAATGATGTTGATCAGTGTCGAGCATTTTTGCAGCTATGATCTTTATAGCACATCACAGTCCTCAGAGGAATAAGGCCTGTGAGTCATGGCCTCCTTTTCAACCACAAGAAACCTGGTTTGCTATAAAAAAATCCTACTTGCTCTAAAAGTATTAAGTCATGACGGTAATGTAGTGATAGGCAACTTTTGTCTCAGCAAACTGTAGGCTAGAAAYTGTCAGAGGCAAAATCTGGGTCTCAGAAATGTCAAAGAGAAATTCAGGAGAAAGTCTTTTGGTCCAGCTGGAGTTTCTTCCTCTTTGTTGTGATACTCAAGACTCTCCCATCATGAGCCAGTGGTTCTGGTTACCAAGAATCATGGGCACTCAGTTAACTTGTTTCATTTCACTGGAAAATACAAAGAAAGCTCCCACTGATCCGCCTTTGAAAGCAAACTTACTTTATAAATATTCCATGTGATGGCCAGGGGCTTGACCTGCAGGTATTCGGGGCTGGTGCTTGAAGGAAAACAGTGGTATTCCAGCAGCGGCTTCCCTGTAGATCCTACCCTAATCTCTGGGGAGGCTTGCTCCAACTCTCATAAATACCTGGCAGCTTTCAATGCCATTTTCTTCCGTTCAGCACACGCAGCTTTCCCCAGACACACGGGGAAAGCTCTGCAGCTTGTGTCAACACCAGACTGCCGCATTCCTCCCACTTTTCCATCACGCAGGGCATTCAGAGCCCGTTATCTGCTTAGGGGAATCCCTGCCGCGCGCTTTGGGGGCAGGACGGCCGGGTATTAAGCACAGACACACCACTAGCTCACAGCAAGGGAGGGAGGCCACGGGGGG